ATTTTGGGAAAAATCGTTTTTAATGTGTTCAAAAAATGCATGAATCAATTGAATTTAAACGAATAAATTGTTAGGTGAATAAATTGAGGAATGAATATACACAAAATGTTCTTCTTCACTCCTTCAGTGGAAAGAATAATGAGCGGTTTCTTGATAAATAAATTTGTTACTTGATGAAAGGTTTCTTTTGGATCCATTTGGAAAGATGATATGTTCAGGAAAGTATCTAATAAATGAAGTTTTCCGATAAGAAAACACCAGCTTTTCACACAAAGTAGTTTCATGTAAAATCATTCCAAGTCTTTTAGTACTAGAGAAAAAATCTCTTGAAAATGTTCCTATTGATTTGAGAGGGTGATTTTTTCAAGAAAGTATCTGATGAATGAAATCTTCCGATTTATAGCGAACTATAAGATTTTCATGAGAAGTAATTTTCTGAAAAATTGATTTTAGTCTTGATGAAAAAATATTTTTTTGAAAATGTTTGTTTGGGAGTTTTATGAAAAATATTCTATCCGAAGTTTTCGATGATGAAGTTGGGGGCAACAGTTATCACTTACTCAGGCGGTTATTCAAATATGGAGAGTATTATGAAAATATTACCGGATATTGTAATCAACTACTCTGTGAATTTCGATCTCACACAGTTGACAATTTTGAAAAAACCCTAAAGACATATCTATTCAATTAGTTTCTTGTCCGTCCTCGATCCTGGCAAACCAAATAGGAAATTTACTCTTTTCGGGGGGTTACTATTTTCTTCCCTAACTGTCAAGGTCTCCAATGTTACACAGCCTGTTATTATATCATCACTATTTTGTTTCATTATTACAGTTGTGGTATTTATTCATTTTGGTTTCCTATGGTGAAGGAGGTCAATATTATCATTATTTTTTTTCCTAAGTTTGTGCTGGTCAGACCCAGTCTTCCGAAGCCCCTATCCATTCAGTATTCTGCATTTGTCCGACTAAGATTTCTATCTTAGTGCGGAAAGCCAGAATGATTTTGAAATTCGAGAATAGAGAGACCATCATTCCACCAAAGACTCCAATAATTAGAACAAGCATCTTGACAAAGTGGTCTGAACAAGGCCTGGGGAGTTTGAAGGGAAAATCTCGATATTTTGTCCATTTTCCACTTCTTTTCTGACGATATTCATCTCGCTAGGAGCTAAAAACTCTACGACAAATATTGTCTTGCTCTGGTGGTCGAGACGGATTACATCAGGCTTATTATCTTGTATGAACCTTAGGGCGGGGAATGAATGGTTCCAATAAATTCGACACTTCTCGTTCTCCAAAACTGATTCAATGTCCTCGGTGTCTCTTCTATACCAGAAGAGTACTGTAGGTGGTAATAAAGCATTCTTATGGCCGTGTTATTTCGATGGATATAGGTCGAGTCTGCATATGGTGGACATAGCAAGTGCATTAGTGTTTTAGACGCCTCGCAGCAGGCACTGCTCCTTGTGTCAGGAACCTGTTTACCCATCACGCGACTGCAATAGACTAAGATGTTGAAGACACCATCCTGGCAGGCCATAATGAACCCCTCAGTTTCCAACTTCAGCCCATTCGAACTGAGGAAAACGTAAGTCAGAGGCTTTGATAAGCTAAGGTCTTCAATGTAGTTGAAGAAGACTCCGTGAATTGGCTTGTGTTACCGTTGGAGTGATGTAATCTCTGTTCAGTTCACCAGCTGCTCGGGCAGCTGCCCTAAATGGAAATGCTACAATTTCTGCTTTCTCGTGACTGCGGTTGTATGAAAATATCACTGTATTAGAAAGTAAGCAACATATAAAGCATATGTTTCATGTTTTTAGTATTTGTTTGTCAGCATTAATAGCGAACGGTTTCAATGAATTTGTGAAAATAGAGAAAATTGGTATTCGTTATATGGTACGATACTTTCAGTTGTAACACTCCACCCCAACCAATATAGGAGCTGCACTGAATTTCTCTATAATAATAATAATTCATTTGCTCATAAAATTTCGATGTACAAGAGAGTGACTAATAATGATAGCAAATAAAATAGAAAACCTATAAAAGGTGGAACCTTGTGCATGGGTATTCAATTAAAACATAAGTCTGATCTATAAAATGTAAAATAAAAATAATAATAATGATAATAATAGAGAAGTGCCGAATTTATTGGAACTATTCGTTCCCCACCCTCAGGCTCATACAAGCTAATGAGCTGATGTAGTCCTTCTCGATCACCAGAGCAAAACGATATTTGTCGTGGAGTTTTCGGCTCCTGACGAGACGAATATCGTCAGAAAAGAGGAGGAAAAACGGATAAAATATCGAGATTTTCTCTTCGAACTCTGCAGACTCTATCCAGATCACTCTGTCAAGATGGTTGTTCTGATTATTGGAGTCCTTGGTGGAATGCCTCTCTACTCTCGAATCTCAAAATCATACTGGCTTGCCGCACTAAGGCAGAAATCTTAGCCGCACAGATGCAGAAGGCTGTCTTTCTTGGCTCACTGCGTTTGCTCAGGGCACATGATTCTCGGACCCAATGATCACTTACCCCACGATGTGGGGAGTGGTCATTGGTTGATAATGCTGGCGCGCCCTCCCGAATGTATCGGGGCTTCGAGGAATAGGGCCTGACCAGCGCACACTACGGTGAAAAAAAATAATAATGATATAATAAGAATGATATAATAAATAAATGTGAACATTTACTGAAACGGGAAAGGCTGAAGATCAGTTGGTTGCATCGAAAGTGTGTTATGTAAAATATACGTTTAGATCAAAGAGTTATACAATGATAATACAATACAACAATAAAAGTGAATTTAGTATGGGAGTGTAGGTAAAGTTGGGCGCCCACAAAGATATTAATCTATTTTCTTTCTGTTAGTTTTCAGTTGGTGACATATCTTTCATATTTTCCTAGGGTCCAATACAGAATTACTTTTTACGCCTTCAAGAAAACATTTTGAACACTTTTTTCATTCTATAGTTATTGTTCAATGCTGCATTATATTTTATTTTTTTGTAGGGTAAATATTTTAGCTGAGTGACTCGAGGATCCCCATACTATCAAAGCGTACATCATTGTTGAATGGAATGAGGAAAAATATGATATCCTCAAATATTCTTCCTTCAGTTTGCTTTTCAGCTGTCTTAATATATGTGGCAGTTGAGAGACGTTTTGAAAGATACTTGATATGATATGAAAAATTCAAGTTGTTGTCAAGCTTTGTAAAACCAGTGTAAAGTTGAGATTCAGAGTTTTGTCAGAGTTGAGGGAAAGGTAGTTACTCTTATTCCACATCCGAAAGAGTTCATCAGAATCTATCATAAGGTCTCCTAATGACCGAATGTTTGTGTCACAATGTATTATTGATACATCGTCAGCATAACCAAAAGGGTGAATAGAGGTGCTCAGGCTCTGTATATTGAACATCATATCATTGACATAAATAATAAAAATAATGGAATCTAGTACAGATCCTTGTGGTTCTCCGTGCTCCTTGGCTACAAAATCGGATACTTCATTTTTCCAGTGCACTCTGGCTTTCCTATTTACAAGGTATGCCTTAAATAAATTCAGTTGTCCAACTCTAATTCCGTAGTATTCAAGTTTTCCAGCCATAATCTTATGACTTGCCGTATCGAAGGCACGTGAAAGGTCATAGAACCTCGCGTTACCGTGTTCTTGTTTTTCGAAAGACTTCAATACTTTATCACAAACATCACTTAGGGCAGTAACTGTGGATTTTCCAGATCGATAACCGTACTGAAAGTTGGTGAGTAACTAATTTTTTTCAAAAAATTCCACTAGTCTAATTTTTAATACTAACTATCTCGAAAAATTTTGCTAGGATGGGTATTATAGAGATGGGACGATAACTATTAGCATCATGGTTACTTTTTTTAAATATTGTAGATATCTGGGAGATATTGAAAACTTCCAGAAAGGTGTTATGCGTAATACAAAAATTAATTAGATGTGTTGAGAGCTCAATGATAAAATCACTGATCAGTTTTATAATTACACTGTTCAATTCAAACACATCTTTGGCGGACGAGGTTTTTGGACCCTTTGTGATGTTATCAATCTCATTTTCAGTTGTAGGATATAAGAAGATAGATTTGTCTATAGTTGGTACCAATTTGAGATACCTGTAGAAATCGTCATTGTCTCTATTATTCACAAACTGCGTCATCAGATTATCGATTACATTCACAAAGCATTAAGTGAAGTCATCTGCAGATATATCAGATTTGACTGTACACTTTTTTTTATATTCTCTGTTGCAATCAATTACATTCCAGGCTGCTTTTTGCTTATTATCAGATTGGTCTATGTATTCCGAATTACTTTCCAATTTAGATATATTGAGTAGGCATACTTGAAGACTAGCTGTAAATCAAATTAATCAAAAGAACAATTTGTTCATGCCAGTCCCAACTTACCTACACTGTAGGTTAATGGACTGACACCTATCAGAAAACAACTACTCCCCTGGATAATACCACAAAGGGCGTTGGATTATATCGGACAGGTGTCAGTGCAGGAATCTTCACAGAAGTATTTCCTGGTTGGTTACTACCTTGTTTACTAGATGGAGTGTTGACAAATATGTTGTATGTCATTCGCTTCAACTTGGTTAGAGAAATGATAATCTGAAAGAAATTAGATTGTCAATTATGGAATATTTGATGGTGGCCAATATTGCACTGACGAGAGACCAAATAGCTCGAAACCGGTCTGCAAGTGTGGCCTTTCCTATAATTGAAAATTGATTCCAGCAGTTGAATCGCCAAGAGCATATGCACGAAATACTTCTGTGAAGATTCCTACACTGACACCTGTTGGCATCAGCCAACAGGTGTCAGTCCATTCACCTACAGTGTAGGTAAGTCGAGACTGGCCTGAACAAATTATTCTTTTGTTTAATAAAAAAAGAAGTTAGGAAGTACAAAGTATTCAGAAGAAGCACTATGTTTCACGAGCTAAATTCAATAACACGCACCTATTTTACCAGTGGTCATATCAGAAAACGATTCTGGTTTCAACCTCAGTGCCTTTCTATAAATTAGGGCTGCAACTGCTGTTCTCACTTTAATCCCAATTTCGTTGATGAATTGCTCATAGTTGTGATTGTAAATAGTGGTAAGAAAATTCAGACCAATTACTAAGGCAGTATTTTGATAAAGGTCGCTTTTGGAAATCGTTTGTTGATTGGGTTGAAAATATGCTACCAGCATACTTATTGCTGTGGGTTGGATAAATCTGGAATTAAAANTTGACTTTAGGTCGATGATGGCCACTATCTTGCACTGATGAGTGCAAAAAATAGGCAAAAAAAAACAAAATAAACAGTGAAAATGTAATAGAAATCAAAAATTGAGAGATTTCAAATCATATCCTAATAAACAACGGAAGTCCGAACTAATAAAATTCAATTTAATTAATAACTCACACGTCAGAATCAATCACAATTCATAACTCGCTACCTCAAGGCCAATCAGAGGATTGAAAGTACTCTATATATAATTTAGTGACATTATCTCAGGTCATTTCAAGGCTCACTTTCAAGGGAGCCTTGAAAATTTCCTTCTTCAAAATATGTTTAGACATATCGACGGCGGAAACGCAGGACCTCGTAACTGACAAAATTCTCAAAAATGAGTTATTTTATGTTTTGTCTTTAGAATAAGTAGCGGCATCTATTGCTCGTTGAATAACAAACTATTGTCTATGAGTCAGAAAAGCTAGTTTCTGAACAACCGTGTGGCCATACTCTATCAACAACTCTGAAAAAGTTTTATCGTTGGTGTGATGACTGCTATCTGGGACCTCCCGAGTAATTGTTTTATTTTTAGTACATTGTCTACATCATTATCATCTTTTTTTTCCGATAAAACCGTTTGACATTTTTTTTTTTGACTTTATCACATCAAGTTTTTAGTTTTCAATTTTGTTACTCATTTCATCTCATTCTGTTCAGTTCATTGAGGTAATATGTATGTGATCCGGCATTCTGTAGTTTTCATTTTTTTCACAGTGAACCACGATTCTACTAGTCGAGCCTTTCCGTTGATACCCACATTGAGGTAGCTGTGGAAAAATATGTGATTCGCCATTTTTCAGCTGCCGCAATCTTGAATTCCATTTTTTTTCTTCAAAGTATATTACTTTTCTTCTAGTCAAGTCCTGCCATCTGATGTAAACATGTAAACCGCCATTTTGTAGCTGCGGCCATCTTGAGTTTGCATATTTTTCTGCTGTACTGCTATTCTACCAGTCAGGCCCTGTCATCTGATACTCATATGGAGGTGGTTGTGAAAAAACATATAATCCATTGTTTTGTAACTGCGGATATCTTGAATTTGCATCTTTTTCAAAGTGTACTCCTATTCTACTAGTCAAGCCCTGTCATTTGATATCCATATCAAGGTAGTTGTTAAAAAATTTGTTACCCGTCATTTTGTAGCTGCGGCCATCTTGGATTTACAGAATTGACTGAATTGTATTGTGATCAAAACTAAATGTGTGTACCAAATATCAGATCAAATTGTCAACAGAAAGGGGGTCAAACTTCAATTGCCAAATTTGACCCAAAGTAACAGACAGAATAAGTTATATGAAACCATTCAATAAAATGACACTAATACTGATTCATTCAGAATCCGCTCCAAGTGTCTCAACAAAAAGCAGTACCTATTCGAATTATTACTAATCTTATCACATGTTTGGGATGACCATCTACATAAATGCCCAAAAACTTGACACCACTACATATTTCCGAAAGCCTGTTGCCAATATTAACATCTATATCACCGTATAGAGGTGTAAAATTATTCTGGTTAACTTAGAAATGTGGAAATGCCGGAAACCCAACTCCTATTCAAATTACCAATGCTTTCGAAAACACATTTACTCTTCAGTATTTCATACAGGCAGATGGAACTAACTGTCTAGAAGATACTAGTGAGATTATATCTAGTATTACAGATGCTGACATAAATAGAATTAAGATTCTTGTGGAAGGTCCAAAAAATCCCTATAAACCTTTGGGAGTAGAGACAAATAATTATTATAGAACTCTAGCTACTCCAGAAGGCAACAGTTTGGGCTACGTTTGTGGATATCTTTTGAAAATGTTAAAGAAAACATTCATGTAAAGTATGCACAAATTTCTCCACGGCAGCTAGTACCACACTGAATGAAACAAATGTACATTGTTATTTCAAGCATATAGTAATTCAGAAGCCAAATAGTTTGGAAGTTCATATATACCTCCAGATTCATTTTTACAAAGTATTATTCATCTAGAATATTATTGGAGTTCCTTTCCCAACATCAAATCGTTATTTTTGACTCCTCGACACTTATTGGAAAGCGTTGCCACGAAATAAAAAATAATATTGGAATCATCATAAAAAATAACGAATAATTCCGTTATCCAATCCTTTTGGACCCCCGTCGGTATATCGACAGAAAAATGATATATATCCTCGTACTATAATTACTCGAAAACTGGAAGCGTTGCCACAAAACAAAAAATTCTGTTGAAATTTTTGGCACTCGAAATATTTCGGGTACTTTGCTTGAAGTTTTGTCAGACATTATTTTTCTCTTCGCCTAATACGGCCAAACAAATTGATTTGACCCTGTATATATGACTTCCTATAGATCTTCTCTCCTACAAAGCCTACTAATTATTGGCACTCGAAGTATTTCGCATACTTTGCTTGAAGTTTTATCAGACATTTTTTTTCCTCTCCTATTACGGCCAAACAAATCGTTTTGACCCTGTTTATATTTTCATCTATATATCTTCTTTGTTGTCACAAGGAATTTTGGCACTCGAAATATTTCTGATAGTTTACTGATGGTTGCGTCGAGAAATTATTTTTTTCCTCGTCTATTACGGTTTTGTCGGACATTATTTTTCTCTTCGCTTATTACAGCCAAATAAATTGATTTGACCCTGTATATAGACTTCCTTTATATCTTCTCTCCTACGAAGCCTACTAATTTTTGGCACTAGAAATATTTCGGATACTTTGCTTGAAGTTTTTTCAGACATTATTTTTTCTTCGCCAATTACGGCCAAACAAATTGTTTATACCTTGTATATAATTTCATCTGTATGTCTTTATTTTTGTGAATTTCAAGAATTTTTGGCACTCGAAATATTTCTGATAGTTCAGTGATGATCGCGTCGAGAAATTATTTTTCCTCGCCTATTGCGGTCAAACAAATTGTTTTGACCCGGTATATATAATCTTTTGTATGTCTCCCTTTTTGTGAAATATAAGAATTTTTGACATTCAAAATATTTTGGGTAGATTATAGATAGTCTCTTCAAGGATCTATTGTAGTTAGAGTATGACTTTATGTTGAGCATTGTATAGAACAAACACATGATATTCCCGTAGGATAATGTTACACACCGAAAGGACTTCAATAATCAGTAACTGAGAAAGTGGAAAGTCTGACAACACCGCTCGCGTTTGCTCCTCTATCCCACATAATATTTTCCCTACGTCAGAAAGTGTGGCCAAAAAACTGTGGCTAACTTCACATTAATGGTGGTTGTGGGTTCATGACTAACGATCGGAATTTTTTCTTTTCATCCATGACACAATGAATATTTTTCAAAGTTTCCTTGAATTCTTTCTGATATAGATGGGTGGGATCGTTTCTGAGACCATCGTAAATGCCAGCATTTAGAAAGTCTAATGTCTTCTCCACGTTTTCCTCTCTGTTCATGGCTATGACCGTTTTGCCTTCATCAGCTCGCGTAAAAACAATATTATCTTCTGCCGATTTCTCTTTTATGGATTTCACTAGTTTCAATTCCGGATTGAACCTACCTTTATGCATCTTTTCAGATTTTAAAATTTCTGCAGCAATATGTTTATTGACGTAGCATGTCCCCTTCAGAGCGATATCTGTATCAATTCCCAAAACTTCTAAATTTGTCGAATTTATGTTGGGTTTAATATTGTAATTGAGAGCTTTTCCTGATAGACGAGTTCCATGTTCTGTGAAACTGGTGTTCGTGAAATTGACAAATTTGTCAAAGAAGTTATGTTGTGAAAATAGTTCACTGTTTTTGTTTTTTTTTTCTTCGGTGGCTTGCTCCGAATTGAAACATCTAATTTATTTGTCTGTATTTAAAACTTCTAATATATAATACCATTAACTTTATCATGAATATCCGAGTCTAGGACTTGAAATTCAATGTAGTGGAGTTTATACAACAGTTGTGTATGTATCACTTTAAGATAGATGTTGGCAACGTCTCTTTTGCTTTACTGAATCTTTCTTTCCATTTCTATCCATTTGAATTTTCCATGTTTACTTCCTTCAGATGCAGCGTAGCTTATGTTATTGGTCTTCAATTGGGTGAACTTCGAAGAGAAGAGGATAAAAGTTATAGAACCTTAACCTACTTAGGCCAACCCACTACAAATATTTTCGATTTTCTGCACAGCAAAGGTGTCGATACTGCTTTCAAAACCAACAACAACTTAGGCATGCACATTAAAAATAACAAAGATAAAAGTTCAGTTTCAGAAAAATCAGGAGTGTATAAATTATCGTGTGGGTCATGTTTTCAACAAGTATCGACCAGTTCTATTCAATTATTTATTAATGATGACAGAATCTAAGGAAAGACATATTTGCCATTTATAGTAGATCATCTGAAACATATAAATGGAAAGTAGGCTCCAAAAAAGGTTATTTGAATATACATTTGATACTTTGATGTTTGCAAAGATTTCAGTGGAAGTAATTGTTTTCCCACAGACACAAATCAAAACTTGATGTGGTTCAACAATTATTTTCCTTCGTGGATTTCCAGTGGAACTGAAGGCATATACTATTCATAAAGTTCAGTTTCATCAAATTAAATTCATAATAAAAAGTCTGCATATTAATGACTTCACTATATATGGTCTATAACAATATGATTTTCGTTATATGTTCATTACTTCAACCTTACATAATAAATAATAAAAAAACATACCTTTTTTCGTCAATTGGAAATCGAAACTAGACACAAATTTTTCACAAATACAAAACCACCACTTACAACGATTCACTCTGTAATAATATTCCATGCCTCAATTTGGCTCGCTTGGTAAACGCCTCAGATTCAGTTGGTTGCGCTGTAGTTCGGCCGCGCATTAAATTCGAGGTGGGGAATCTTGACTCAAATATGTCGGCGAGTGAATTTACTGGTGTTTACTTATATACTGTGCCGGGCTCACAGACAGTGGCGCGACTACCAGAAGGGTAATTAAATATTTAATTACTATCAATGAAATACTGTTAGATATCTAACACCGTTCTGTCTAGAGTCTATTTGATATCGATGAGTTCAAAATGCTTATAAAATAGTAGAGTTTTTTTGAACGTGTTTTTTCATGGGGATTATTGATACACCAAACCATGAGAGGAAAAGTGAAAAAACACTTCAAAAATACGTCTCTGAATTGAATGAATTTGATACATATAACTTCCCCTTCAATAATGATAGTTCATTGGTAATTCATTTCTTCAATTATGCATATAATAATTTTAACGTATGAATAGACCTTATGTACTCACAAGAAAGTAATAATAGATAAAATCGACGCCTTCTCTCTCGGATTTATCTCACGCCTTTGCCTGATACCTGAGTCCATGTTGTATAACCCACTGAACCAATTGATGAATTATGAATGATTAAATGAAATATTTGAATTTTATCATTTTGAGATAAGTTGCAGATTATGGAACAATAGATTAGTTGAATGACTATTCGAAATCAATCATACACCTGTTTTCAGTGTGTGATTTGTACTTATCAAAATCTTCGAAAGAATATAATATAGTAGGTGGCGAAACGAAAACGAAACATTTTTTTCAAAAACTACACCTCACGATTTGATCTTCATAAACTGAAGCATAATACCTCACATCTACGTCAATAATAATTCTTTCTGGGTTTTTAAGAAAACAAAGTTCAATAATGGTGATATATTCAAATCAAGTCTGTCATTCATTAGAATTTTTGAATTTTTAAGTTTATTAATTTCCATTGCTTCCAAATGATTCAGTTTCAAACCTTCATTTTCTATATTAAAGATATGATTTTCTTCTAGAAGATGATTAGAATATATTGAATTTGTTTTCTTATTTACATAGCACGTATAATGTTCCTGGATTCGATTCCTGAATGTTCTGTCAGTTTGACCAATATATAAATTAGGGCACGTTACACACTTCAATTTATATACTTCTGATTTCTCGAATTTGGATGTTTTGTCTTTATTATTTTTACCTAACTTTATCAACGTATTACTTGTTCTATATGCATATTTAATATCTCGTTTCCTCAAAAATGAAGCCACTTTTTCCATTGGTTGTCCAAAATACGTTGAAGTTCTTCAATTTAGATTACCTACCTTATCAATAGAAAAAACGTTTCGAATCGCTTTTACGTAGACTTTTTTGGCAAGTATTTTGTTTATTATGTCGGCTTTGAACCCATTGTTAACCGCAATTTGGTTGATGATATTAAGTTCTTTATTGAAATTATCATTTGAAAGAGGAACATTCACTAATCTGTGAATCATGCTATTATAAACAGCAGGAAAGTTAGTTAAAAAAATAAAGACAAAACATCCAAATTCGAGAAATAAGGAGTATATTGATTAAAATGTGGAACGTGTCCTGAGGTATATATTGGTCAAACGGGCAGAACATTCAGGAATCGAATCCAGGAAAATCATACGAGCTATGTAAATAAGAAAACAAATTCAACATTCAAATCATCTTCTAGAACAAAATCATATTTTCAACGAAGAGTTCGAAATTTTGCACATAGAAAATAAAGGTGTGAAAATGAGTCATTGGTAAGCAATGGAAATTAATAAACTTGAAAATTCAAACATTCTCATGAATGACCAACTGGATATGAATAGATCACCATTATAGAACTTGTTTTCTTAAAAACCGAAAAAGAATTATTATTGATGTAGATGTGAGGTAATATGCTTAGGGTGATCATAATTGAACAGGTACCTTAGGTAGAGGTTAAGGTAATTTTTGGAGGTAGTCTCAATTATGGTTATCTGAAGTATATAAATACACACATCGGAAAAGTCTAGGGATATTTCTAAAAATGGCTATAATTTTTTTTTAGATCGCTTTAGGGAAAGAAAAGTTGACGGGTGATTATTAAACGAATGTAACTTACAACAAAATTATTAAATGGTCAAAAATACTGAGTGCGCATATAAGCAAAACTAAAAAAAATATGGCTCTTCTTTGGNTTTTTATGATATTTAGTATGTTATAAAAATATCCCTAGACTTTTCCGATGTGTGTATTAGTGTGAGAAACAACTTGAAGTATTCAAATCACTTGATAAAGCTACTGTGCTAACGAAACATGTTGTGATATATTTCTCGAATAAAGTTTGTGGAGATCAAATCGTGGGCTTTAATTTTTGAAATTACTATGGATCTTCATCAAGTAACGGCCGAATCAATCAGGAAAAAAAGAAAACGAATCCGATTCATTTCCATGAACCGACATGATAGACTTTTTATCATACTGAAAGTGGAAAAAAATGTTTCTCCAAGTCATCAGAGATATATCAGAATGCTGAGAAGATACTTTGTTGCAGGTAACAGGCTGTTGATCGACAGAAAGAAATCAATATCAAAAGCAATTTCGGGATTGAAAATTTCAGCGAGCTAAAAAGTCGGAAACGGAAATGCTCCACATTCGCATCAAATGGAAGAATCAAATGTCCTTGAGGAAGAGAACAAACAGGACGAGTCTCTCAACGATTAAGACGGTGAACGTCTCATCTACCATTTGCGACAGCTCATCAAAGTACCGAATAAAAATTCGAGGAAAGATGAAAAACAAAGATTTTTAATGGATCACAATTTGTATTTTACAGATTACTATACCAAAAACCAACTACTTGAATTTGATTGTCAAGTTGGCGGGAATTCGGTCAATATGTTGAAGAAATCCAATTTCTAAATTGTCGACGTTTCAAAACTTTATTGTTTCATCTTCAGGGCTCTGAAGTATAAGAACAAGACATACATATTAAAATGGAATTTACAAAGAAGTTCTGTTAGAAACAAAATAAATTATGTAATATAACAATTGTTAAAAAATAATAAACGTTTCGAACACTTTACAAAAAAACAACGTTGATGAGTACTTACATTCAGGGCGGCTTTCCGAATTGACGGGTGAAGTGAATAATTTCGACATAAAATATAAATACGTACACAGGTTCCTGAAAGACGTTGACACAGACACAAAGAGATTAACAATCTTAACTCTCTGTAAATCGTTCAGAGAGTTCAGATTGTTAATCCCTTCGTGTTCGTGTTTGTGTCAACGTTTTTCAGGAACCTGTGTACGTATTTATATTTTATGTCGAAATTATTCACTTCACCCTTCAATTCGAAAAGCCGCCCTAAATGTAAGTACACATCAACGTTGTTTTTTTTTTGTAAAGTTTTCGAAACGTTTATTATTTTTTAACGATTGTTATATTACACAATTTATTTTGTTTCTAACAGAACTGCTTTGTGAATTTCCATTTCAATATGTTTGTCTTGTTCTTATACTTCACAGTCCTGAAGATGAAACAATAAAGTTTCGAAACGTCGACAATTTAGAAATTGGTTTTCTTCAACATTTTGACCAAATTCCCGCCAACTTGACAATCAAAATCATATTCAACGGTCGCCATCCTATTCAACTACTTGAAGTTTCACAGACAAAACATTTGAAAAAGTGTATGCCTTTGAGACTATTGCTGAAAAGTTTGGACACACCATACTGACATTTCCCTCCTATTTTTGTATATCAAAAAGAAATGAACGCATTAATAAGTCTTCTATTTGTATGAATAAGAAAACTGACATTGATAATCTCAGCATACTAATAATGAAAATTGTATCAATCAATAACTTTTTCTTTTTTTCTTTAAAGCCAAAGATTATGAAATCATCATACCCATTGAAAAATGACATTAATGTGAAGGTATGACATCTGTCAAACCCAAAGTAATCCTATACATGTTTAACTTCCTTCGTCAATTTATATGTTCAATTTATTGTTTTTGACTCATTTTTACTGTTAGTATGATTTGTAATGTTTTTTAATGGCGAAAAAACTCACAACTCAAACAACTGGATTGTATCCGACAGGCGTCAGTGCAGGAATATTCACACACGTATATAATCTAATGCCCTTTGTGGTATTAGCCAGGGGAGTAGTTGTTTTCTGATAGGCGTCAGTCCATTCAACTTACTGTGTAGGTGAATTCGACACTGGCTTGAACGTTCAGAGATCATTTCTTTAGATTTGTTTACTGTCAGTCTTCAAGCATAGCCCACTGAATAATAAGAAAGTTTTTCTTTCTTATTCAGAGGAATCGGGCAAATTACGGATATGCAGTTGGTTAGTACCTGCTCCATCTAGTGGACGATGGAGTGACATTTTGTTGTTCGCTCCAACTTAGGCAGAGAAATGAAATACTCTGAAAGAATTCCGATTTTCAATTACGGAATATCATTGAATTTAGGTCGAAGATGACCACTATCTTGTACTGATGAGTGGCTGAGAAGCCCGAAACCGGTCTGCAAGTGTGCCCGTTCCAAAACTGAAGGTCGACTCTTGCAGTTGTATTGCGGATTGCATATGCAGTATATTTTCTGTGAAGATTCCTGCACTTACGCCTGTCGAATATAATCCATAGCCCTTCGTTGTATTAGCCAGGTTAGTAGTTGTTTTCTGATAGGCGTCAGTCCATTCAACCTACTGTGTAGGCATATTGGAGACTGGCTTGAACGTTTAACATTCATTTCTTTAGATTTGTTTGCTGCCAGTGTTCAAGCATAGCCCTTTGACTAACTATTACTTCAATATCCAACTAATGATAATATAAAATATCACTGGAAGACATGTGCTGAAAAAAATATAGAGAATCCCATCAAGAAAAGTAATGTGATGAAATTGGAAGAAATACGGTAAAAATCCATAACACGTTCTAGAGATTTTCGCTAAATAGTTCACAAAATTTCAACAAGTGTTTCACTATACAGATGGTTCTTCAGACATTTCCATGTCAACTGAACTCTACCTATTAAGTGCATTTTATACATTGAAAATTCGAATTATATGATGGAATTGGTTTCTACATTTTACAAAATAATTCTGTTCTCTTTCATTCTCTGGGAAATGAATCACAAGACAGTTTTCATATATTCCTGACTATTCGACAATGAAGTTTTGTCTGCATTATTCATTTCGAAAGAATTTGTTCAATTTATACGTTGACGTCTTCCTTCAAAAAATGAGCGATTTTATTGGTAGGTTGATAAAAGTATGTTATAGCTGTTCGAAACGAATGAAGTTGATAACATCCATCTTGCAACAGTTATTGATAGTAATTTGTTTGATGAAACTTTCTTCTCTCTGGAAATTCATTTCAGAATATTCAATAGTCTGTGGAGCATACCATCGAAGCTGCTATTTCATACTGAGAGATATATGTCGAGGAACTATATATGACAATGTCCGTATAAGTTGCAGTATCAGTCAAATCTAGAAAAGCCATTGAGTTTAAACTGAACAATAAGCTGTTACATGACATCGAGAAAAATTATACAATACAGGTAAAAATAATACAAAAGTAGTTAATAGTTTTGAATTTATTTTCATCTCATCTACATAAAAATATAACTCTGAATTTCACTAATCACAATCAATTCTCACAAATATATTCACTGAATACGTGAAAAAATGTTCATTCTTTTGTTTGGAATGTAGAAATATCATTCACATGTAGTGAAAATGACGGAGAGTATCTCTGTTTCAAACTTTCATTGCTGATGATATAAATATAACTCAAAGTACCTATGCTACCAAGAAGAAAAAATATGAAAAATATGGGGATTTAAAAATGATGATATTATTGTATGAGACGTGTTGCGTAATGAAATAAAAAATATCAGGAATTCACTGCAGAAATGGAAAATACGAAAAGTTCTGACTGATACCAAAAATCCCGAGGAATAGGATATAATGTCAATTGTACTAAAAAGATATTCACAAATGAAATTTCATAATTTCTTTGAAATATCATTAAATTAACCAAAATATTAACTCCGATAGGTTTCAAAGGCACAAAAATATATTTTCGGATTTTATCAGGTCAAATGTGTACATTTCTTTGACGAATTGACATACAAACTGATATTGAAAAAAAAAGGATGTAAAATGTCTACTTTTCAAAACAAGTCAATGGTCAACTTCTCAGTAACCTTTTTTCTTGCACAAAAATGAGATTTCAGATTTAACTCAACAAATTTGCTCAACAATTGAGCATCTGGTAAAACTATCGAAAATTCACCGTCTCACGAAGGTGACTAGGTGACCTACCAAACATGACATTTTTTCGCAGGATTCATTTTAGAACCTAGAGGACAATTAAAGTCCTTATAGAAATACTCTGAGTTACTCAAAGGTCCTTGAACCCTAAATTGACCTGGCGAATGATACCCTGTGAGAATTCTCAATTTCAAAGTCTCTGGTCGATACTTTGAACACCATGTGTTAGCAGCAGAGATCCAGAACATTTGGTTCGGGGTATACTTCAAACCAGGAAGTTTGGGTTCTTCTCCATTTCGTTGAACCCATTTTCTGTAGGCAAGGTAGGATTCTTTCAGTCCACCGTTGTCTGCTATGTTTTCACCTTGTGTGTTGATACCATTAAGCTGAAATTCACAATATATCCATGAAAAAGCAATAACCCGCATATAAAATATTTGTTATGTCACTATTTGATGTAATGATCAGAATAAATCTTAATTTTCTAATCATCCAAATTCTCACAGGAAGCTTGTTCGAAAAGTTGAAGGCAGTCATGCATATTCAGGAGATGCAAGAGGAAGGAACGAAACAAATGTTTTGAATCAGTCTCAACTTTGACTGGATTCACAAGTAACTGCAATGATTTAACATTAGTTGGGAGAAAATGTAAAAGCAAAACACAACTGAGAACGTTCAAAACAATTCAGAGAAAAATTCATCGTCGATATCAATATAATACATTATTTCAATTGCGAAATCACTAAAAAAAATCCATATCAATCAAAACAAATTAATGTTAGTATTATCATTGACTACATCACCACACCATTACCCACATGCATTTATGAATTATTCACAAAATATGTATAAAAACCAACCAACACCAACGAATAACCACACCTACAGTTTCAAAATTCCTCACCTGAAAATTTCAGAAGGCGACCAATTGTCTTTGATACAGAATGTTGGATCAAAACTACGCATTTCAAAAAGTAGATTTATTATCAAAACATGCCTTAACAAAGAGGTTCAAATTGGAAAGGGTGAGTACTAAAATGATGGCAGTCATGATCCGGTCAAAATCAGTTCATTAACTTTTGAATAATAAAAATTATCAGGATATCAATCAGAATAAAATATTAATTGAAGCTATCCGTTTTGAAATGTTTGAGAAATGAATATAATGGGAAATTGCAAAACATTCGCATTCAAAATCGAAAATGGAGAAATTTTTTGGCAATTACTCAACAATGCCATTTTCGGTAAAACTATAGATCATTACATGTTTCTATGAATGATGACCGGATCACTCACCACATTGTTATGTCACTACAACATAGAAATTGTTCAATAGATACTTTTATAGTCAAATGTCCAGTTCAGGGTTGATAAAACTTGAATCCAGACGGCCACTAATGATCTAATCGACCACCGATATCGTATTTTATTGAATAATAGTCAATTTCTCGGAAATTGTTCAAACGAGACGATATTGATATTTTATCATCTTGCGGTTATCAAAAAGAACCTTGTACACATATGAATTCCAAATTAGATAGATTCATTTCGTAGTAAAAATATATTTAGGGCATCTCACATCAGAAATAAATCAGGATATCGGCAATTCAAAAAGCTTTAGGAATTTGATCGTTTTACAATGTATCCATCATGATGATAAATCACTGTATAATAGCTGAGAGAACAAAGGATTTCCAATGGAGATCTCCTAGTGGTCCTACTCGTATTGTGGTCCGTATAGATATGGACATTGAAGGGACATACAATGAATATAAATGGGAAGTTCATCATTTGTCATTTCAAACATGGATGTTGAATGGACATGCATAAGATGCCCATGAACATTGTCCATGAACATTATTGTTACACATGAAATGTTCAATTAGTGGATGTCTTTCATTCTTCATTCACTTTTATTTTTTGTATGTATCACAGGTTTGACAATTGGAAACTTCTTTTTCAGTTGCAGTTACCTCTCCAGAATACGGTGCAAAAAGTAAGTGAAATGAGAATGACTCATAATGAAATATAAAGATTAATTCATGTTTCACATTTTACAACTGTCATTTTCATACAAATTCATCGTGTCTGTTGGATATCTGATTGATACGGCCGTTACTTGATGTAGATCCATAGTAATTTATTAAAGTTCACCTCACGATTTGATCTTCACAAACTTCATTTTCAAAAAATGTATCACGACATGTTTCGCTATCACAGTAGCTTTTCCGTAGTGAATCACTGCAAAAAAGCCTTGCAATAGCAAGGGCTAATTTGATGAATTCATCTGATGAATCGGTAGACTCACAAATGGGTGTTATCAATTATTGAAATTTTGTAATGTGGAATGTGGGGAAAAGAAGAATGGTGTAGAAAATTGATTATGGTTATATGCAATTTTCAACTGGAGAAAGTGGTAAAATCGGTTTTTCAAAGAGAATATTAACCATGATGAAAAAATAATAGTATTCCATCTTTCATTCTACAACTAATATGATCTGCTATTCATGTCAATATGCAGCACATCAATTGAAGTATATTCTATTTTGAATCATTTCCACGTATTCCTCATCACGTTTCTCATTGAGTACATTTTCTGCGGTTGAATTCTTGTGAAAATTCCTTGCCTGTGGACTTTCTATGAACTAAGATGAATGGTGAAGATCGCAATATGAGCAGCTTCAATTGTAGTTTTCCACTATACAAATTTTGAAGTGGCTCTACAGTCTGACGTTCCTGTTTCTAATTACTGAAACTTCCAACTTTCGAATTGTCTGTTGAAAATTGGACAATGTGTTGGGTAGAATGACGAGAGATGATCAGTCTTGAAAAACTAAATCCACTTCACATTCAATCACAATAAATGAAATGGGTTCGACTTGAATACTCCTCAAGACCTTTCTTTTGTCTTCTCGAACCTCTGCACGCATAACGACTCTCGGAATTTTTTCCCAGTACCGTCTATTTTCAAACATATCTTTCAGTTGACGAACTGCTTTTGATATGAAAGATCACAGGCTATTCGAAAAGTATGCTATCAGATAGCACTATTAATCCGTTTCCGTGAAAAAATGACTGAAAGGAATTTTCACAGTACCCACCATATCAATTTCCATGATTTCTTTTTGGATTCCCCTACCAAATTAAAAAAACGATCAATTTCAAAACATGAGAAAATATTGGGGATATATATTTCCAATTGGGATTGTTTCCAAAAAGTTTGAAGTTTATTTTATGATATACAATATATCAGTTCCGAAAAACTCTAATGCAATCCTTTTGTGATATCCTCTATTCAACAAATAGAAATAAATACGAAACGATTGGAAAATATTCTGGAAAGTTGAAAGAGTATCTCTGAATGGTTGGAGAAAAAAATTGGTTCGATTTCACTTTATCACATTTTGAATTGTTCTCTGATCTGATACGGTGCTAAATCATTCAAGATATTATTCAGATCGATTCTTCGAGATTGAGATGGTTCCCTTTATTCCATTTTGATAACATGAAAACAAAATAATCCGAATAGTTCAGATTTCTTTAAATAATATACTAACTCATGAGCGAAAACAATAGATTTTTGATGTACAAGGTTCATGATTTTCCGTAGCTGAATACGTATTATTATAGATCATTTTTCAAATAATACGTTCCTGTATCACTACCAAATTTTACACTTATGCTGTGGATTCATTTTAGAACCGACTGGACATTTGAAATCTCTTGCGAAATCATCTGAGTTTGACATGGGCCCTATCACTCTAAACTTATCAGGAACATGCTCATCTGTTATGATCAACTGTTGTAGCTCTTCCATTCTGGTCCTAGAACACCAGATGCTGGCCGCTGAGACCCAGAACATTTGCCGACCGGTGAAGTTCAATCCCGGGAGATAAGGTTCATCACCACTTCTCTCAAGCCATCTATTATAAGCTAAATACGCCTCCTTGATACCACCAATATCAGCTATGTTTTCCCCTTGTGTATTAATACCGTTTAGCTGAAAGGAATGGTCAAGCAGTTGTTAGTGGAAACCAACCATGCTTCGGGGGTACAATTCAAAATTTGGGGGGTGGAAGATCCTTTATAGGCTACATTCTAGGCTTATCTAGTTTCACGCTAATGCACTATAACTGTATGTGGATTATTTGAAAATATTAATTGGGAGTTTTCTCTTCCATCTGATCGTGCACTGTTATCAATTTTAAATATGGTTTCAACACTTTTAAATTTGTTGGAGGATTTACGTAGATACCATATTGATTTTAACTCATCTGAAAAACTTTTGATAGGCAAAAGAAATAGTTTTGGAAAAGACGACTTCTAGTGAAAACTTTTTGGTTTTCTACTTCTACTCCAATAATATTGAAAGCTCTTGGCTCCTATCGAGCTACGTCTGAATTGGTAGCAAATTGACAAAAATGACTATCCCCGATAGAAATACTTAACAGATTGTCTCTGGTCTGGATTCTTGACCATACTGAGGCTGCTGACTCTCTTGTAAAGAAGGCTGCTGCAAGCAGCTTCATCGAACCAGAACCTGTCATTGGCTTCGCTTCAGGCTTTGCCAAACAAAAATTGAACACCTGGATGGTAAGAAGTCTTCTAACAGAATCTTCCAGGATTGGCTCACTCCAAGGATTTTATTCACCCTTCGAAGCTTGATACCAAACAGTTGTTGGACTACAGTAGGGATGAACTACGATGTCTAACTGGCCTTCTTACAAGTCACTGTCATTTGAATTATTATATGCAGAGATTCGGACTGTCGGATGACAGTGTGTGTCACCCTTGTTTGGAAAATGATGGAACAGCAGTCCCCTGCTGGGGATCGAATCAGGTTTTTAGAGTACGGCAGAACCGTACTCTTACCATCTGACCTAAAAGACCACTCACTATAAAAATTAATCGGCTTCTTTGAGAAGCTGGGTTTGTTTGGTCGAGTGTGAATAGGTGTAAGCCACAATAAACCCTTGCGGGTTGCGGTGGAGGGTCGAATAGTCCCACTCACTTTGGTTCTAACTTAACCTAAAACCAATAATATACAGATTTCCGAAGAAAGCAACAGAGAAACTCCCTTTCCTTGGAAGTTTCCCTGTCAAGAGAAGTGGAAAGCCAAAAAATAGTGCCCCAGTAATAGATGTGAGGCGTGTCACTTCAGAGAAGCCCCTATTCACTTCCACTGATTTTCCGTTATTTACAAAAAAAAACAAAAATAAATTGTGGCTTAACCATAAGTGGTAATGTGCTAGGAGTCGCACGTTGAAAGGTGAGACCTCGTTCATCATTAGCTGGCACAAATTTCGACTTCTGAGAGTTATTTTTCGTAGGAGGGTGACAGATAGTTCACGTCGAAACGTAAAATACAGGCTTCAGACACGTTTTGATCTCTGTTAGAGTTTTGGCACATGAGATGTTTCTTCCCCGCTAGGGGCTTTGTTTTTTATTTTCTAATAATGAAACACAAGCACTACAAGAAAACTTTTAAGGCATTTCAAGGCGCCTGTGTGAAAGTAGCGATTCACAAAATGAATTCCTCACCCAGGAGATTGAAATCGTTGGTCAAATAGCAAAACACCAAAAGTCGTGGGATTTGACTGCCAACAAAAATTTCAAATTTCTTACTGCAAATTCGTGGAGACACTGGATTCTCCTTAATAACTCAATAACCCCTAATAACCAAAGTGATGGACTCATTTCCCTTATTGAAGATTTGTTCAGAGCGCGGGGCATCTAATGTTATTTTTAATTTTTTTCTATTGAAAAAGAAATAATTTTTCTCTGTGTCGAATGAGAAAGCAGTTATTTTGAATGTGCAAAACATTCAAATGATAAATGATTTTTTTTCGGTGAAATAGAAACTTACAAAAAATGCATTTCATCTCAGATGAGATGAAGTACTATGTTTTTGATTAGAAAAAAACTCACTCATGTGGAAACAGTCATCTTACTCAAAATTGAAGCACGACTGATTCCAATTCAAAAAGGTGGATTCTGGAATTCAGGGTATCCTAAACCAAGAATAGCAATGAGAAATATTTCTCAATTTGCTCAGAACAATCAATGTGCGTGAAAAATTCATCAAAACTCAAATTGTTTCGAATATCAGCATATTCAAAAGCGGTTAGTTTATTCTACATGGTTAGGAATATTTAAAAAAAAGCTGACGTAAATATATTGATATATCAACTTGACCTTCCCTTGAAAAAACTAAGAAATCTATATGCGATATACAATATAAGCTCCATAAATTCCCATGCAAGAACAGAACATATCAGTTACATATTACACACCATTTTTCCAATATTACTACGAGGATTGAGTTTCAAATAACCGGATTCATACGGCAACTAACCAAACCTGAATTCTCACGATATAATACATATCTAAGCGATGGCAAATCAGAAAAAACTTTTCCACAATTCATGATGAAATGTGAACAATCTGTAAATGACCTGGCAACAAAAAGTTGTTGTTGACATTAAAGTGTTCAAACTAAATATGGAATTGTAGTTCAACCAAAACTTACATTGAGTTTCAGTTCCGGAACGCTATAATTTCCATACTGGTCTATGATGCACTGTGCTTTTTCAACAAAGGCCTTTTTCGTGGATTCCTGCCACCAGTTGACCAGGTTACCATTCTTGTCGAACTGTCTGCCTTGATCATCGAATCCGTGCGTGATTTCATGACCAATTACGAAGCCTATTGCACCATAGTTCATGTATCGTGGACGATCATCGCTGAAGAAGACACCCTGGAGGATACCAGCAGGAAATTCTAGAAATGAAAGAAGATGGAAAAGTAGGTTCTACTAGAAAATTTCAATTGATCAACTACCATACTTTCCATAATAAAAAAATTAATATAGTTATTGTTTTCGAATATTACTATACTAGAAAAATATTTTATTGCCTACAGGTTGAATAGTTATACTTGGGAGACAAGTATCTTGTCCATTTCGAATGAATATTGTGAATATATGAAAAACATTGCAGCTTCCATTCTCCATCGCGATTTTCATTTCATCTTTCCATTATGTTTCCTGTATTAGTTCATTTATGCCCCTTGTTGAATTTCTGTTATATTCTCCTGATTTTAATTTTATTGACCTCCAATGATCAGGTATCCCACTTTCGAATGAAATATAACGTTCTCTGCTCCTTTGTCTACACCTATGTTCAGGTGTTCTCTGAATGGATAGTTCTCAGAAGGTAACTTTCCGTATCTTTCAAAGCCGATCTTCTGTTGAAATCGTAAGTCTAATATCCATCTTTCAAAAAAGTATAATATCAAATCAAAGGAGAGTACACTTTTGTAGATATTCCACCACGTCAATGTAGTACATTCACTGTAGAGAAAACATATGTCAGGCTTATTGATTACAGGTGTCTGAGGATAGGAGAGAGTAGTTTTGATCAACTAATCATTTTTAAATGGTGAAGTTTATCCACGAGTAAAGAAGGTCAAATCTGTGGCAAGACAGAAGACAGGATATTTTCCAATCTAATCTGGTGCGTCATGATGACTGTAACCTCATGAATGACTGGGTTTTCCATCTCGCTTCTTATGCTTTCACTCAAAATATTCTACAATTGATAGGTGAAATAGGAACTTCGGTGGTGAATTGAATTTATTGAGAAAACTTCTTCCACACCAGAGCAAAATATTGTTTCGACGCGCGTTCTGCTAATCAGGTTGGTTTCATCAAGATATCAATGAGACAAAAACTTGAAGATCTCTCAGTATTTTCATATACATCTGAACGGATCATCATCTCACCAAATGAGAATCACTGAATTATATTTCATCAGTTCAGACTTCCATTGAATATATGGAAATTAAAAGATTTCAAGCAAGTTTTTTTCGATTGTTACTATTCACAAGCGTCTTCGGATGATGACTGTACTTACTCCTCCGAGAGCTGACCATTCATAGATCATTCGAGTGCTTCCACCTTTCACGACGGATAATGACTGGACTTATTTCTCCGAGATTTGACTATTCATAGATCATTCAAATGATCTATGAATTGGCCGTTTTCCGCTTGATTATGGGTTTCCATATGTTGCGCATTTCTACCCTAGCTTGGCTGAATGCGTTGTTGTACAACATATATGCGGCTTCTTTGGATTTCCTCCTGAACCAATGTTTCTCAGCTTGGGACCACTCTATGTTATGTTGATGAGTCCAAACATGCTCTGCTATTCCTGATTTGCTGGTTCTTCTCGCTGTGTGTGTTTCTTAAGCTCAGCAATGCGGATTTTTGAAGGCCTCTTAGTTTCACTGCAATAGGATTTCCCGCACTCACATTTATACATTTACTCACTCATTTACTTCCGCATTTCACTGCTATACGATTTTCCGCATTCGGTAAATGCATTTCTTGAAATCGGAGCCCCCGTTTGGTGGTCTGTTTTTCGTGAGGCTGCTACGGATGGTGTTTCCGGATCTGAAATAAGTTCTCATGTTGTACTTGGACCCAATTCTTCTCAACCTTTCTGACAATTCTGTGGTATAGGGAAGTGCAAGTACTGCTTGTGACGGCTTCTCTTTCTTGCGAGGCCCTTTCTGTCTTTTAGCCAAAGTCTGTTCCACTTTGACTAAAATATATTACCCGAAGACGATTGTCGATACTTACAATCGAAACGTCGTGAAGTAACAAAGCTTCAAATATTTCAACTATAATTTATTTCTGTTTGTACTGTTCATTTCAGAGTTTTTTTTTTCGCTTAATATGATTGTTTTTATCAGCTATTAATTTCAAATTTGTTGATTCTTTCAGGAATTACAAATCATTTCATATCATATTAGACAATGAAAGTCTGAACTGATGAAATTCACCATGGAACATTGTCAATCACCTCTAAACAAACACTGAATAATAATTTCGACATATCATGTTATATTGCTTTTTCCTGAAATCAACTATTACCTGTCGAAATACATAATTCTCACTTGTTTCCTACCTGTAGTATTGTTTCAACAATCTCAATCATTCCTCACTCATTTTGTGATCGTTCTCTGAGGCATGTTGTTCGATACTTGGGCTCTCTTGGTTTATGAAACCAAATATGTGATACATGTTCCTTGTATCGAGCTATTATTGTCCGTTCGGTTTGACCAAGATACTTGTTATCGCAATCCTGATACTCATTCCATAATTCTCAAACTTTTTGAAGTAAACGAGCAGTTTTGAAACCCATTTTTATATTCAATGAATTGTATCAGCTATGGGTTCTCCTACGCCAAATGATAAAATCAAAGACGTAAGATTGCGAGAATGATATTTTGTTATTTTCTGGCATGTATTTTTGATTTCCAAATAAGATTAACAATCTTAACTGTCTGTAAATCGTTCAGAGAGTTCAGATTGTTAATCTGTGTCAACGTCTTGCAGGAACCTGTGTACGTATTTATATTTTATGAAGAAATTATTCACTTCACCCTTCAATTCGGAAAGCCGCCCTAAATGTAAGTACACATCAACGTTGTTTTTTTTTGTAAAGTGTTCAAAACGTTTATTATTTTTTAACGATTGTTATATTACATAATTTATTTTGTTTCTAACAGAACTGCTTTGTAAATATCCATTTCAATATGTTTGTCTTGTTCTCATACTTCAAAGTCCTGAAGATAAAACAATAAAGTTTCGAAACGTCGACAATTTAGAAATTGGTTTTCTTCAACATTTTGACCGAATTTCCGCCAACTTGACAATCAAAATTATATTCAACGGTCGCCATACTATTCAACTACTTGAAGTTTCACAGACAAAACATTTTAAAAAGTGTATGCCCTTGAGACTATTGCTGAAAAGTTTGGACACACCATACTGACATTTCCACATAAGTCTTCTATTTGTATGAATAAGAAAACTGACATTGATAATCTCAGCAGTATATACAGTAACTTACTGGAACTACATCAAAAACATAATAATAATGAAAATTGTATCAATCAATAACTTTTTCTTTAAAGCCAAAGATTATGAAATCATCATACCCATTGAAAAATGTCATTAATGTGAAGGCATGACATCTGTGAAACCCAAAGTAATCCTTTACATGATTAACTTCCTTCGTCAATTTATATGTTCAATTTACTGTTTTTGACTCATTTTTACTGTTAGTATGATTTGTAATGTTTTTAATGGCGAAAAAACTCACAACTCGAACAACTGGATCGTATCCGACAGGCGTCAGTGCAGGAATCTTCACATACGTATATAATCCAACACCCTTCGTAGTATTAGCCAGGGGAGTAGTTGTTTTCTGATAGGCGTCAGAGATCATTTCTTTAGATTTGTTCACTGTCAGTCTTCAAGCATAGCCCGCTGACTAATGAGAAAGTTTTCCTTCCTTATTCAGAGGAATCGGGCAAATTACGGATATGCAATTGGTTAGTACCTGCTCCACTAGATGGAGTGACTTTTTGCCGTTCGCTCCAACTCAGGCAGAAGAATGAAATACTCTGAAAGAATTCCGATTTTCAATTACAGAATATCATTGACTTTGGGTCGATGATGGCCACTATTTCGCACTGAGGAGTGGCTAATGAGCCCGAAACCGGTCTGCAAGTATGCCCGTTCCAAAAATTGAAGGTCGACTCTTTCGTTTGTATTGCCAATTGCATATGCAGTAAATTTTCTGTGAAGATTCCTGCACTGACGCCTGTCGAATATAATCCATAGCCCTTCGTGGTATTAGCCAGGGTAGTAGTTGTTTTCTGATAGGCGTCAGTCCATTCAACCTACTGTGTAGGCATATGGAGACTGGCTTGAACGTTTTACGTTCATTTCTTTAGATTTGTTTGCTGCCAGTGTTCAAGCATAGCCCTTTGACTAACTATTACTCCGATATTCAACTAATGATAACATAAAATATCTCTGGAAGACATGTGCTGAAAAAATATAGAAAATCCCATCAAGAGAAGTAATGTGATGAAATTGGCAGAAATACGGTAAAAATCCATAATAAGTTCTAGAGATTTTCGCTAAATAGTTCACAAAATTTCAACAAGTGTTCCACTATACAGATGGTTCTTCAGACATTTTCATGTCAACTGAACTTTACCTATTAAGTGCATTTTATACATTGAAAATTCGAATTATATGATGGAATTGGTTTTTACATTTTACAAAATAAATCTGTACTCTTTCATTCTTTGGGGAAAAAATCACAAGACAGATTTCATATATTCCTGACTATTCGACAATAAAGTTTTGTCAGCATTCATCATTTCGAAAGATTTGTTCAATTCATACGTTGAANTTGCTCGTTGAATAACAAACTATTGTCTATGAGTCAGAAAAGCTAGTTTCTGAACAACCGTGTGGCCATACTCTATCAACGACTCTGAAAAAGTTTTATCGTTGGTGTGATGACTGCTTCCTGGGACCTCCCGAGTAATTGTTTCATTTTTAGTACATTGTCTACATCATTATCATCTTTTTTTCCGATAAAACCGTTTAACATATTTTTTTGACTTTATCACATCAAATTTTTAGTTTTTAATTTTGTTACACAATTCTCCTCATTCTGTTTAGTTCATTTTGTGCCTTAGTATTATAACAAGGTAATATGTATGTGATCCGGCATTCTGTAGTTTTCATTTTTTTCACAGTGAACCACGATTCTACTAGTCAAGCCCTGCCAGTTGATACCCACATTGAGGTAGCTGTGGAAAAATCTTGTGATCTTGAATTCCATTTTCTTTCTTCAAAGTATACTACTTTTCTTCTAGTCAAGTCCTGCCATCTGATGTGAACATGTAAACCGCCATTTTGTAGCTGCGCCC